TTATAAACAAAAAGTTAAATAAAAACGGTATAATATAAAAAACGCTTTAAATTAATGGTGCAATACATTTAAATTTTAAAGGATATGCAAAGTATAGCATATTTCGGAAAGCCCGTAAAAGGCATGCTTAACGCAATACGCTAAAGCAATTACCGCATTTTAAACGTACGTTATAATAAAAAACACCATTGCTTGCCCGGAAAAAAGGTAAAAATTTTTTTAAATGGTACAATAAACGGGCTTAAGCGTTTAAATAGCGGTAAATGCATATTGGCGGTATTTAAACCTATTAAAAAACGAAAAAAAAGCATTTTAAAATTATTTATTAAAGCATTAAAGCTTAATTGGTAATTAAAAACATTGGGATTTTGCAATGTTGCAAAAGCAATATAACAAAAGGAAATTATAATTTTAACTATAATAAATTAACGAATTTTTTTTAAAATTAATTACTTTTTAAAAAAGGGATATTAATAATTAATTAAAAAAATATGTAAAAAAAATCGATTAAATGCCGTATCCAAAAAAACCAAAATTTTCGAAAATTACGTTTTTTTTGCTAGCGTTAAAATTATTGCCGCTAAAATCGTTAGCGCCGAAAGCGGCATTTTCCGGCGCCAATACGAACGCCGCACTTTTACGGGAAACCGCGCAATTATAAGTTTGGGTATTTAAATGCGCCGCAATTATAATAAAGCTAGCGGCAATGCTATTAAAAAAAGCAATTATACCTTTTTCGAAACGTTTAAAAAAAGCAATTATATTTTTTTCGAAACGTTTAAAAAACGCCGTTATTTTGTTAAAAAAATTGTTAATGCTAGCTAAAATTTAAATTTGCTTTTTCGTTTAAACGGCAATAGCGTAAAATTATTAAAAAATGTTTTGGGTAATTTTTAATATTATAACGCTAGCAATTTTGCGTTGGATGCGCTTTTGGATAACAATTTAACGTTTGTAACGCGTAAATTATTCGGCCAATATGGTATAAAAGGATTTGGCTTTTTAAATAGCTTTGCAAGCGCGAAATTAAACTTTAATAAACTTTTTAAAAAATTCCGGTATTGTTTTAAAAAACCGTTTGTAAATGGTATTTAAAATTTTGTAAAGGTTTTAAACCATTTTTTAAAATTATTTGGAAAATTTAACGCAAGCTTTATTACTAATTACGTTTTTGCAATAATTGCATTTGGAAAACCCCGTACAATTATTAAAGCATATCGGTATACGGGGGTTAACGGTATAATTTTAATATATTTAACAACCAAAATAACGGCTATAAAATACCGTACGTTTTGTATAATTGTTTTTAAAAAAAAGCAAATAAATAAGGTTTTAATTATTGCTTTATTAGGAATTAATAATTTTTTTGCAACGGGAACGCGTTGCAAATACTTATATAAAGCAAAAAAAAAGCAATGTCCGTTTTGGGGGCAAATCCATTGGAATCGAAAGCGTTGCGGCAGCGCTTGTTGCGCGTTTTACGCTTTTTTTTAACGAAGGTTTTTTTGTTGCAACGGTTAAAGCCCGCCGGGGGGTTACCGGCAAAACGTTTGCGGGAATTTTAAAAAGTTACAAGCGCAAAAGGGCCCAATAAACCCGCGGTATTTAAAAAGTTTACCAAAGGGTTACCGGCAAAGCAATTGTTAAAAATTTAAAGGATTGGAAATTTCGGCAAATTTAAATTCGAATTTAATTAAACCACGATAATTAAAAAAAATACCGAAAAATTATTAAAAAGGCGTTAAACCGGGGCTTAAAGGACCGTGGGGCCGGGAAAGGCCAGCAAACCGGTTAAAACCGAAAAACCCGAAGCAAGCATTTAACAAAAACCCGATTTTCTTACCGCAGCGGTTATACTAAACGATATTTGCAATTACTGGTTAGGTTTAAAAGTTTAAAAAAAAGCGGCTAAATACCGATTATTTACGGTTACGGTTATCGAAATTTTTAAAATGGTTATTAAATGCATAAAAAAAAAAAAACTTGCGGTTTCGAACGGAAAAAAAAGCCTTTTATATGCCGGCATAAATTTATTTTTCCGGATGTTACAAAGCTTTATAACCGGTTTTTTTAAGCGTTGCTAAGCATTGGCGCGGCTTAACGGGATATTGCTAATTACCGGTTATTTACGGGATACTTTTATGCAGCGTACGCGGTTTAAAACAAGCCGTATCGGAAAAAGGCAATATGTTAAAAGCACGGGCAAAACCGCCCGGTAAAAAACGGGGAACATTAAATGTACGGGCAAAACCGCCCGGCAAAAAAAAAAAAACATTGGTATAATTGGCTAAATACGGATTTTCCCGGTAACGTACCTGTCACGGTACGCGTCGGGGCACCTGGGGAGGAACCTGAAGCCGCACTCTTAGCGCGCCAACGTCACGCTTACAAAACCGCGACAGAACGCCAGGGACGCTCTGCCCAGATAGCTTCCTCTTCGTCCAACAACAAAGCCTTTTCTATGACAATAAGGTGTGAGCCGTGGCAGTACCGGTAAAATGCCGGTATTGCAGCCAAAGCATAATAGCAAAGTTAAAAAATAAAATAAAGCTTAAATTGCACGAAAGCGCATAAAATGCGGAAAATTTATAAAACCAACCCCGCATGCCCAAAAAGGCACGAAAAAAAAGGAAGTTAAAAAAAAACAATTTTTGTTGGAAATAGCACTTTTGGTAAAAAGTTTACGGAAATTTAACAAAGGAAATACCGTATCCGGCCCGTAATTTGGTAATTATCCGCCTTTGCACCGATCGACTTTTAATAACCGGGCACGGACCTTCCCGGTAACGTGCCGGCGAGGTGCCGGTGTTGCGGCCAAAGCATAATGGCGAAGTTAAAAAAATAAGGTAAATGTTGGAACAGCATTGCGGTGCGCGTGCGATCCGGAAAGGGAGGTTGTTACAAAAGGCTCTGGGATCCTCCGGATCCCGCACGGGCCAACTCTATCTGCCTTAAGCAAAGCAGGGAACCACCCTTTTGGGTAATCGTCCCTGCGCATATAAAGGGCAATCCTGTGCCCTTCTTTTGGCAGATAGATTCCTTCCTCGGTATGCACAATAATAGGATTTTCCCCAGATCATTGAAATCGTTGTTCACCTCTACCAGGAGATTTCCGAGCCTTAAAACAGGAGTACCAGACTCTTACCAACAGTAAAGCTTAAATTGCACGAAAGCGCATAAAGCGCGGAAGATTTATAAAACCGACCCCGCGTGCCCGAAAGGGCACGAAAAAGGGGGAGGTTAAAAAAGGAACAATCTTTATTGGAAATAGCATTTTTAATAAGAAATTTACGGAAGCCTAACAAAAAAAACACCGCATCCGGCCCGTAATTTAGTAATTACCCGCTTTTGCACCGATCGACTTTTAATACCGTCCTTACGTACGATAATTAATTTGTTAAAAAAACCGGTTTTTTTAAATTCGAAACGGTTAATTAACGTATTTTTTAACAAATTTTAAGCAATTGCGGGCATTTTTTGCCGTTAATTTTAACCGTTAAAATATAAATTATCATTTAAAATTATAAAATTTAAAGCTTAAATAAAGGTTTAATAATTGCACGTTAAATTGCAATTACGAAATAAATTGTTAAATAAAACAAAAAAAAATTAACGAATTTGCCGGATAATAATTTATATATTGTTATTAAATAACGCGTAAAAGCATTTTAAACGAAAAAATATAATTGCTAATTTTTAAACGCGATATTATAATACAATTTTATTAATGCTATTGTAAAAAACGTTATATTTTTTAGCCAAAAATTTATAAAAAATATTTAATTTATATTTTGTTGCAATTTTGGTACGTTTATAAAAGGAATATTTAATTTTTGACGTTTTGGAAGTTTTGGGCGCTATGTTGTAATTATTTAAAATAATAGTAATAATATTAACGCGTTTGGAATTGTCGCGAAAAAATAAAATTGGTCGTTATTTTTGTCGCCCCACTGTAGGTACCAGGTAGTTCAGAACCCCCAACGCCAACAGTGTTGTTGCGATGGCAAATGTTACGGGACCAGACCAAGGTAGTACCCGTTACACCAAAGCAAAAGAGGAACGTTGTTGTAGCTGGGGCTACAACCATGCGAGGTCCTTATAAGCGATTGTACCGTAACAGCAGAGGCTTGACTTGGCGGTTCCTTGCCGAAATATGGTTTGCGCGGGGAAGCAAAAGGGGGTCTGCGAGCTAAATCCCAGAAATGTGGGTCCGTTCGCTAAGCCATCACAATACCCCATCACAGCCTTGTCACGCACTTGAAGCTTCCCTTGCATTTAGAATAGGTTATAGATAAAAAAAAACGATAAATTAGCATTAAATAGAATTACTACGTGATGCCTGTGCTAGGATCGGCTTCTTTGTTACTGTTAAGTGTAGATCGGAGTGTACGCGCTCGGGTGTGTGGTGAGGAGTGTGAGAGTATTTGGTGCGGCCGAGGCTGCGGCTACGACACAACCTGACGGATGAGGACTTTAAATAGCTCTTGAATCTTAACGTGAACGGCCGCCAAATCAAAAACATTGTTAAAACCGCTTCCATCCTTTCTTCCAAAGAGTAGGTGCCTCTCGGGGGTAGGCTACATTAGGACTGTGCTTAAGGTGACGAGAGAAGCGGGCACTGTCGAGTCGCCGACTTAAACCAGCACATGTCACAAAAGGAAGCATGGCTAAGTGGAGTAGGCCGGGGTTTGGCACTGGGGGACCCGCGCCCTCCGGGTGCGGGCCTCCTTTACCAAGCCCCGGTGCTCAGCGGTGGAAGCTCGTTAATGGATGCGGAGCCTGGAGGACACGAGTTTGAGCACCCGATGTAAGAACAAAGAGCCAGATGCTCCCTGCACCAGTAGACCTACTTCGTTGGAGTGAGATCCAGGGCTAAATAAATCCGGTATTCTGTCATCGGTCCATTTGACCTCTTGCCGCAATACATTAAAAAACAACACTGCCGGCACCTGCACGCCTAAATTATATACACAGGCTGGGCATAAACCGGCTTTGACGGGCGCAGGGTGTCACTTGGGGACCATCTAATAGCCATCAAACTGTGCTGCGCGGGAGTAATTGGGATACCGTTGAGCGATTAAATTTAACAGCGGAGTAAGTGGGCAACGAGTAACTTGAGTACCGGTTAACAGGAGCCAAACCATATGCCACGGCGGAGAAGGGCAAGATCTAGCCCACGTTTACAAATGCTACAGCGTCGCCTCCCCCACCCCTATGCTCCCACTTCTCCGAAAACAAGATCGAAATGGGGCCTTTTGCTGGAGTCTGTGGTGCGGACTCCAATCGTCGACTCTCAATCTCCTCCTCCCTAGTAGCAGTAAGGCCCCGGGGTCTTGGGCGGCATGCCGCAAACGTCGTACTCTTTACTGAAACTGGGGCAGGTGGGAAAGCGCAGGCACTGCTTGACGGTCTTGCAGTTGACCGTTTTAAAGCCCTCGGCCGCGTACTGCTGGCAAAAGTAGAGCGGCTCCATGATTTTGTCCATCGGTGCGCTAAAGGCAGAGACGGGGACGCACTATTGGGAGGGCTTTAGTCAGTTGGGGGAGGCAAAAGAAATGGAATAATATGATGGGGGAAAAGTATTTGTGCCGAAACTTACGTATCCAGCCAAGCCCAGGGGGCCGGCCTCGTCATTCAGCTTCTCGCCGTACGGGCAGCTGATGGAGGGGTCGACCGCGCCCGAGGCGTTAACGCAGGCGCAGGCGACGTTGTCTTGGACATAGTGACTGTAAAGGGGGTAGCGGGGGTCACTGTTAGTTTGTTTGTTTTCTGGGGGAGGGATAGGGCAGGAAAATCCGAAAGTGGCAGAGGAGAGGAGGCATCATACGGCGGGTTCTGGCGGGCAGCGAGCTCGGTGGGAGCGGCCAGGACGGCGGGCAGGGCCAGGAGGGCGACGAGGAACTTCATGGTGGGCAAAGAGCGAGTGTTATTAGTCCTTGAAGGTTGTTGACGATGTTAAGGGTGAGGAGCAAGAACGGGAAAAGAGATGCAGATAACGGTCGAGGCCGTCCTGTTTTATATCCCGCCAGAACGAACGATCTAGCAGCTCGCGACATCCCCATAGCTGCTATCTGGTGTTGGTTGCATGGCATCCACAACGGCCTCTCGACTTCACATGCCGACGTTAGGGGGAGCCATTAGGAAAACAGGTGGTGGCTGCATTCTAGCATCACCTCAGAGATTACAGGTAGCGGAGATGGCATAACATTTTGCGGGGCTGTCGTGGTATGGATGGGGCGCCGTTCCAAGGATACATGTTATCCCCAATGCGACGGGCCGGGTGGGGGATGTCGTCTCCTCGTTCCAAATCGGGCAGGCGGGCGCGCGGCCCTGCGAACCCCGAACACCCGTTTTGGGGTTGCTGACGAACTGCCAGGCCAGACCCTTGGCTCGACAAGCACAATCGAGGCTCGACAGCCGCTTGGGGTATTGGCCGTCGTGGGTAGGCGGTTCGCAAGCACCCTCGCTGCCCTACCGCTCATCGCATGGCCGCTGCCCCATCCTGCAACGTCAGGTGGCTCAAGATGGCAGGTGGCTCTTGGTAATCACGACTTAAGCCCTCCCTTGGCCTGCTGGCGTTGCCGCTGCACAATTAAGGTGCTTTTACAGCTGGTTGGGTAAGGGCTCCACTATACCTTGGTACAGTGGGGCGACAAAAATGACGACCAATTTCATTTTTTCGCGCCAATTCCAAACGCGTTAACATTATTACTATTACTTTAAACAATTACAACATGGCGCTTAAAATTTCCAAAACGTTAAAAATTAAATATTCCCTTTATAAACGCATTAAAATTGCAACGAAATATAAATTAAATATTTCCTGCAAATTTTTAACCAAAAAATATAACGTTTTTTACAATAATATTAATAGGATTGTATTACAATACCGCGTTTAAAAATTAGCAATTGCGTTTTTTCGTTTAAAGCGTTTTTACGCGTTATTTAATAATAATATATAAATTATTATCCGGCAAATCCGTTAATTTTTTTTATTTTATTAAATAATTTATTTTGTAATTGCAATTTAACGTGTAGTTATTAAACCTTTACCCGGGCTTTTAAACTTTATAATTTCGAACGATAGCTTGCGTTTTAGCAGCTAAAATTAACGGTAAAAAATGCCCGCAATTGCTTAAAATTTGCTAAAAAAAATACGTTAATTAACCGTTTCGAGCCTGGAAAAAATAGGGTTTTTTTAACGAATTAATTATCGTACGTAAAAACGGGAATTGCACAAAGTATGTATAATGCAAAAAGGCAAATTAACCTTTAACCAAATGCACCATTTTTAAATTCGTTTAATTTGCGCAATTTTAATTAGTAAAACGAAAAATTAAATTCCAAGCATATTTAGCCAAAAAACAAGCTTATTAAATATAAGCAAATATTTTGGGGCGCTTTTAAATAGCATATTTGCAATACTTTGCATGCAATGTACGGTAATCCTTTATTTAAAAAAAAGGGTATTAAACCGGATTATATTTAAATGTTTGCAAAAAAACCTATTTATAATATGCTTTCCGGGAACGGTATTTATGCAAAATAACGTTTTTACGTACTAAACAATTAAAATTTAAAAGTAATTGCAAATTTGGGCAAAATTGTACGGGGTTAAATTGGTAAATTAATTAGCAAATTTACCGGATATAAATTTTATTAAAAATTTTTAAATTATTATTAAAACCGTTATAAATAAAAATTATTTTAAGCTAAAGCAATTTCCAAAAAGCAATAAATTTTATAAATTATTTATCCGGGCTACCGTTAAAGCGTAAAAAAAAATTGAAAAAAAAGGTATAAAAAATTTGGTAATTTTTATAAACCGGCAATTCCAAGCCGTTATTAATGCAAACGGGTGGTACACAAAATATTAAAATAATGCATTCCTATTAATTAAAATACGCTTTACAACATATGCAAAAAGCAAAGCAAATGAAGCAAAATTGAATGCGTTGTTGTGGTTTGAATTGGGCGCGTTGTCGAGGAAAAATGCAAATTTTTGAAATTGGTCGTCATTTTTGTCCCCTGACTGTAGGCGTCATACGGGTGGGGTCAGGGGGTAAGGGGAAGAGACCAAAAAGAAATAACAACGATGTTCGCGCCACCACCTTCCAGGGCCCCAAAGTCCCACCTGGCTTGGGGTTCGTCTGAAAGCGGCAAGTACCTGCAGCTTCAAGGATGGGACGACTGCGCAACCCTGCATCGCCCAGCTGCCATCACGCAAGCGGCATGATGCAGCTTCTTGGCTTTTAAGGGGCAGGCCAATCTCGCTGCGGCAAAGCAGTCTGGCCCAATCTCGGAGCATCGAGCAAAACTGCAGCTGGAATACCCGCCAAGCCGCCAAACAAACACGTCTACCAGCTACCACTTGCGATGAGCCAAGATCGGCGGCGCTCGGGTGCGTTTCCCCGCGACGGCATTTGCGGCAACGGTGTGGCAGGGCAGCTCGGCCCGTGCCTAGTCGATCAGAGATGGAACTCTGTGCCGTTCCGTCACACCTGGAGACGATAAGCGTGAACTCACCGCTGTCACCGTCAGAGAGGAGCACAAGCCCATCTGTAGTGGCGCTTGGGGGGGAAAAGCTATTGTGTCGCTTTGGAGAGGGGCCTGGTGTAGCATTTTGACCCAGTCCACACAATGCGTCAATGCTGGAAGCAAAATCAAAACGCGGTCTGCAGTCTGTGTGATGTTTTTCTGGGTCTGGATAGTCACCACATAAAGGAGAGAAGAGTGGGCAATACGGGGCAAATTAATGCGTACCTACCCAAAGAATGCAACGCGGGAATACGAGCCCAGCCTCCGGGCAACGCCGGGCCCCCTATATGCGCGCTACTAGTGCCAAGAGCTTGACCGGGGGCCGCTGCGGGTACCGGGTGAGCGAGTCCTTTTCGGCAGGCGGGTGGATACCCACCGTCTCCCTGTTGGGGCCGTTCTCGTCGCCGCCCTTGAACCGGCCCGTCTGCTTCTTGGCGGGGAATACGGGCCTCTCGGGCTGGCCCGCGGTGTACGGCTGCCCGGTGGCAGGGTCGTTGATGCGGCCGTCGGCGTTGGGCTGGGCATCCCATAGGGGGTGTGTGGGGCGAGTCCCCTTGCCGAACTGCGCGGGAGGGGGCGGCGACTGCATGACGGGCGTTTTCCCGTCAAAGACTTAGTCGGGCCGCTCCTTGTTGCTCTCGGCGTCGTAGCCTGGGTTGTGAAGCCTCGCCGGGGCCTCGTAGGCGCGCTGCTTGGCTCGGGCTGGTCTTGGGTCTTGGCGCCTCTGTATTTGCCAGACGCGGCCTGCCCTGCGTATTTGGTCAGGCTCGCTTCGTCTGTCATGGGTTTGCCCCAATGGTCTTGATTGGCTTCGGCTGCGCTTCACGTTCTCACTTGTCTTTCATGGTGCAAGGAGCTTACCTGTCCATACACCTCCATTGTACTCCTTCTGTGCGTTTCGGTATTCGGCCGTGTTTTCTTGTGCTCCTTAAGCTGTTGACTCTGGCTTGGGCCTCCCTGTAGATCAGGGAAATCCTTGGCCGTGTTGACTCCGGACTCCCGTGCATCGGTGGCTCTTATGGCCGTGTCGGTGTCCCTGTTCGGGTTGTTGACGCCGGCAGTTATTTTCTCGTCTCGGGCACGAGCCGCGCCCGTGACGGGATCGCGTCCCGCCATGTCAAGGTCTTGAAGCCTGTCTGTTCTCATCCCCGAGTTGCCGCCGGCAGGTGTCTTGGAGTATGTGGCGGCGTTTCCGGGGAACTATTTCTGGGAGTCCTGGACGTGCCTCATGTGCTCGGGCATAAAGTCGTCTCCGTAGTGTCGGATGATCTCGTGGTTGGCGGGGTCATAGGACCACTGCGTCCTGCCCGGCTGGGGAGCAATGGTGGGATCAGTGGGATTAGCCGGACTAGCGACTGCGCCCCCGAGGAGGAGGAGCAGGCTCACCAGCCCCAGCAGCCGGCTGGACGGCGGTTGCATGTCGATCCCTGGCAGCTAGCCGGGTTGGTGGCACAAAAGCCAAGAAAGAAAATATGTAGTGATATGTGCTCAGATGCAAGCAGCTTGGTCTGAGAAAGATGCCAGTGGGCTGATGGCTATAGGGGCTACCTGATCATGGTCAGACACAAGGACACGAGCCTTGATATATACAAACCAAATATACTTCTGTATCTCTTGAATTCTTACTGTTTGCGTGCCCATCGTCCTCGCCATCACATCACAGCAACGGGGAACATGGAGTAAGCCCCTGAAAATCGAAAACGCCGAACACGGTGATGGAGCTTAGTGCCCTTGCGAGCACATGGTTTCCTCTCCGGGAGAGTATCGGCCGAGAAGCAGCTAGCCAGGATAGTAGTAATGATCATGCGTAGTACGTCAAGAAATGTGCTTCCTTTCGGGGGCTAGCTGAAGAGTGGTAGCCACACATGTAAGATATGTGGCGGAGCTAAACTGCAAAGAGCCAACATCGCCAATATGCCAAGCCGGCGATGCACGGCTCGATTGGTCTTGGAAGCTGCCGTGCGAATCTCCCTGAGCGCATGTGCCTGCGTGCTCTTGTCGCTGGGTGGCTGGCCACGGCTAGATACCCAGGTAGGAGGTAGGTACGTATTTGATAGTCACGATTTCGCGGCTCGAGTCTGGCGCGATTGCATTGCTTACTTGGACGCGTAGACCTGTCCTCGCTTGACCCCGCAACAACACGCACACGCACACACGCACACACGCGCAGCCGACGCCCATCAACTGCGTCGCCCCCTCTCGACCTCGTTTCCCCCCCC